GTCACATTATAACGCCCCCACAGCTGAAAGGGCGAGCATGTTTGGTGGGACGGGGATTCGAACCCGCGACCCTCAGATTGCGAGTCGAGTGCCCTAACCATCTGGCCATGCCGGGCCGAGACTAAGGCACATTTTGGGGTAGCTTCAGGCTCAGCAAACCCCCTTACCGCTGCTTCTCTTACTAACAAAGCAAATAATTCTAAGTTACATTTTAAAATATGACCTTTATGGCCGCAATACACTAAATTAAATGTACTGAAGTAAATATCTGCCTTCCTTTGCCATCCTCAAAATCGTATCAGTACAAATTACGAAAATGAAAAGCCGTAATAATTAAAGCAGTTATTACTGTGTACAATTCAACTAGCATTCACCGGGTACGTATTTTCCAATTGAACGAGTAATTTGTGTTAAGCATTTACGATATAAAATCTGTAGATTTTTTTTAAAGGGGTCATTTTTCAGTTACGTACTAAGAAGTTGATTGCGTTATTGTCCTTCCCTTCCAGAAAGTTCCTTGTAGCGGGAAATCATCTAATCTTGGCAAGACTTGGCCATCAGCATTCCTGGCCTGGTGTTAGTGAACCCAGATAGACTTAGCGAATAATTAGTTTAATTAAACTGTTTTTAATGGTTTTGAAATTTTCATCGTTATTCAGAGTGGTTGTGTTGAACTGTTATAGTTAAAGCTGGCTAAGCATTAAAAACCAAAAGGTCTAAAATTTGTTATAAAAATCACAACAACTGCAGGTGTATTTTCAGCATTCCTCTTAATCTATTCATGCTGTTTTATTGTTATTGTATGTATTTGTTAGAAGTTTTATCAATTCTTTTTGTCTGAAATGCAACCTAATAGTATTTACAAATACTAAATAGCTTTTTCATTCACTACTAGATATTCCCATTTCAGATTTACTAACAATTACAATAGTGTGGTCAAATGAGAGTTCCACCCCTAAGTCAACTCAACAATAAAATGCGTTTTGGAATTCACTGAATATGTGTATTTCACCCTGTCAGTAGCGAAAACGGGTATGATCCAATTCAATCCTGGTAGGTATTTAGGTTTGAAAAACCAGGAGTGGTCAGAACTTTTGAGATTTCTCTTCGCCTAAATGGGTATGATTCTGGGGTCGAAGTGAAAAAGCTACTTATTATAGAAATTTGAACTCGTTTGTTCAAGCATAGGTACCAAGTGACCCCACCTGAGACGCGGGGTCTTATCAGTACTATTTTATTAAATTGGCGCATATACTGATCTTATCAAAAATACCTAAGGTGTGAAGAAAAAGTATGGCCAAAAAAAGATTGAGTGTGCGACTTTGGGCATGATGGTGGGTAAAACAAAATACACGGCCTAGCTAACTAATGAATGAATATTTGTTATAAAAGTCTTATCAATGCTATAAATGTAGCTACCAGTTTGGCCGCCAATTTTGATTTCATTTCTTTAAGTCGCATACTCAATCCTTTTTTGGCCGCACCTCTTCTTCACATCTAAGGTGTTTTTGATTAGATATCACGACTTTTTATCAATACACTCAAACAAACCACAGCAAGCAAGAGAGTGACACTCGATAATAACCAACATTAACTTTAGGATCGCAACCCTATTATTCGGAATAGACCAATACTTTACAGAACCAACTAGATTCTTTAAAATATATAGTCGTAGTATTTCTTCTCCAAAACAGTGTTAATAAGTTCCTTTATAGTAACGCCATGGAATCTAGATTAATAGTTTCTTTCCATCACCCGTATGCACTCTGTACAGCCGTATCAAGCATCATTATTACGCTAATTGCTCAAGCTTGTATCATGTGACGCTAAATGCTCTTTAATTATTAGAATTTCATAGAGTTTAGCAAATCTGTTCTGAAAGGTTAGCAATGAATAATCAATAATAACTGTGAACCCGTATGATTCTTTTGAAAACTTGAGCTAGCTAATCAAGTTTGTTTAGCCTAACCAATACTTATGTATCTGCACGTCCTTTCACCTTATAGTTTTCCTGCTCCAAATCAGTCGTTTTTAAACCGAATGACAAACACTAAAATGGTACACTTTTACTTTAGATGAAGCTATAGTAAAAATGTTGGCCCGATAGCTCATGTGACTTTTTGCGTAGGCATGTGCAAAACGTTTAGCCAAATCGAGCGGTTTTTGTTTAATAACTTTGCACATGTGGCTTATAGTTACACCAAATTAGACTCCTAATTGTAGGTTGAAAGATCTATCAGTGTACCAAATTTCTAAAAAAAAGTCCATAAAAGTTAAATATGTTTTTCTATCAAATAAAGTTTCCGTACTTTCTGTGCGAAAAAAAGAGAGGAAAAAATGCAATCAAAATTGGAGATTTTATATATCGTACATTTCTTAATGGATTGCCATGACATTTGGTATGTGAAGTCAGATTCCAGTAGAGCACATTCACTGAAAATATGTGATAGTTTGAATTACCACAGTTCGAGATACAGAAGATTGAAAATTCGCTAAACTATCACTCCTGTTAATAACACACAGTGTGTCCTGCAGCAGGTTGTTTTGGCCGCACAACACACTACCGTGTGTCTTGATAACAAAGATTTCCATCTACGACTGCACGTTCTTGATGTATCCAGTTTAAAATAGTATATATATATATATATAT